TGCTGTGAGACTGGGGATCCCAAAGCTTCAGGCCTGTCTGAGAGATGCGGCACTGGGAGGTGCCACCTGCTTCTGGACTCAGGGCAAACTAGTCTTGCTTCTTGGGCATAGCCACCAGCATCTCCAGCTGGGAGGACAGCATGGAGATACAGATCAAGTTGTTTAGGCGATACTGGAAAACACTGGACTGAGCACAGTCATTACCGGGAGAGGCTGAGCGCCAGCTAGAGCCTACAGGCCCCTCACAAGGGCCCCCAGGACAAGGTTCCTCAGTTCAGTTTTCACATGTCGCACACCTAAGAGGTACAGATGAATTATTTGTTTTCTTTTTTTCAATTACCAATTGTTGGGCTAGTGGGACAGCTCAGAGCATAAGGGTAACCTGAGTTCAATGTCCAGGACGCACAGGGCGGAAGGAGAGAACTGACTTCTATGTTGTCCTCTGGCTGCCACATGTGTGCTGTTTCCTAACACTCTCCTTCACACAAAGAAATAGGCTTTTTCTTAATTGATTTTTTCTTTTTTGCTTTCAGTTGCTGAGTGTGTAAAGTGTTCAAGCTGAACCACAACACATTGTCCATCACCAACTTCACCATTCACTTCCACACAGGCCAAATGCATGTGCTATCATCTGAAAGGAGGAGGTTTGACCAAGGAACGCAAGCTAAGCAGTAGGGCCCTGTTATGGTTTTTTCTCTCTGGAAGGGCCTGGGGTGACTGGGTAGCTGCCGAGCCAGCAACTGGAGCCAACGGCCTCAGGGCTGTGCCAGAGGGTGAACTGGAGATAACCTGTGTCAGCAGAGGGCCATCGATCTTGCTTTAATGTGGAAGGAAGTCTTTTCTTATCCCTGACATGTGACTGGGTAGTTTGCTCATGATCTCAGACCTCCTTACAAACAGTGATAAATAAGGAGCCCGCGGCCCCCGTGGAATGCAAGGCCAAGACTTAAAAATGTGTTTCGACACAAAGTCATGGGAATGGACGGCCAGGCACCAAAGCAAAGTTACATAACAGGAGTAATAAATTGAAGATGTCACCTCGAGACGCCGAGGTTGAACACACACTCACAGACACTTAGGGCTGCAGCCCCATGAGCGCCAGACATGCCACAGTTTGTTTAGAATCTATCAGTGTTAACCACTCCAGGGTCTTGTAAATCACCCCTCAGGCATTTTGACAGATTACAGAAAAAGGAGGGACAACAGTGGCAGCCTGTTCTCCTCCACAAGTGCTCAGCAGACAAAAAAATAAAAAGATAGACTTCTTTCTTTTCTTTTCTTTCTTTCTTTCCTTCTTTCTTTCTTTCCTTTCTTTCTTTCCTTCTTTCCTTCCTTCCTTCCTTCCTTCCTTCCTTCCTTCCTTCCTTCCTTCCTCCCTCCCTCCCTCCCTCCC